CTACATTATTATTTTTTTAAAAAATTTCAACTTCAAAGACTCCATTAAAGAAATGAAAAGACAAGCCACAAACCAAGAAAAAATATTTGCAAATCATCTTTCCTTCTCCTAGTCTTTTACATTTCCTTAGCTCTGGTAGCGTAGTGGCTAAGGCACTTGACTGCTAACCAGAAGGCCGGTGGTTCAAACCCACCAGCCACTCCCCAGAAGGAAGATGGGGCAATCTACTTCCATAAGGATTTAATCACCTCAGAACCCAATGAAAGTCGCTATGAATTGGAATAGATTTGATGGCAATGGGTTTGGTTGTTTTGTTTTGTTTTCTCCTTCTGAAAAATAAGAAAGGAACTATTTTGTAATTTAACCTGCTATGATAGTTAAAAGGAGTTCTGGTGGCATAGGGCCTAAAGTATTTGACTGCTAACCAGAAGGCTGGCAGGTCAAACCCACCAGCCACTCCTCGGAAGGAAGACTCAGCAATCTACTTCTGCAGAGATACCACCTCAGAATCCCAAGAAGGGGTCACTATGAGTTGAATCAACTTGACAGCAGTGAGTTGTTTGTTGTTTGTTTATGTGGTAGTTGAGGTTATGTGTCAACATGGTGGGGCCTGATTTTGAGTGGCTGGGCAGCTGGATGCAGTATTCCCCATGATGAGACTGGTAATAAACTCCATGGTGGAATCTACTGTTAGCAACTTAGTAGCTGCCTGAGGGAAGTGGTCTGCTACCAGTATATAAGAAGAAGCTTTGAGGGAGGTCTTGAGATTTTTGGCACATCTAGATCTTGCATTTGGCTGAGTCTTCATCTCAGTGGCCTGCCATATTGTCTGGTGATCTTGAGACTATTTCTGCACTGTTTGTGGCCCACCATGTTGCCTGATAATTTTGGGACTGTGACATTTCACTTGTTGACCTTGGGTTTGTTAGCCTCGGCAGCCAGCAGCTGCCTGAGTGAAAAGAAGCCTCCAGCTTCAGTGGGCTGGGAGCAAGAGACAGAGCTGAAGTCCAAGATCAAGGGGCTTTCACCCAGCCCCTAGGTCTGACACTTTGAACTCAGACTTATAGCCTCCCAAACTGTTAAGAGAATAAACTCCTGTTTATTAAAGTCACCCATTTGTGGTATTTTCTGTCAGAGCAGCACAAGAGAACCAAAACACCTGCTAATCATATTAACTAACAATGAGTTACAAGTTGTTGGTTATAATTTTCTGTGATTCTAAATTAAAACCTTTATGGAAATAATGCTTCTCCTTACCACAGTTTTGCTCATCGCTCAGGTCTCCACAGTCATCATAGCCATCACACACAAGGCTATAATTAAGGCACTTGCCTGTGTGACAGTGAAACAGGTTCTCACTGCAGTCTGCAAATAAGAGAAGTCACCAGTGTGTCATTAGAGCAATACAGGGTGTTATATTAGTACATTACTTAGCAAAAGCCTGTCATGGAAGGGAAACTGTAAAAGTAACCTGGTCCACATCTTTTGTTTTACAAGTGAAGAGACCATGGCCCTGAACGTCCAATGACTTGCTCAAGGTCACATAATGAGTTATTGCAGAACCAGGATGACAATCTTCTGGCTCCAAAGCCAGTGCTTCTATCGCTTCCTGAAATTTGTCGTCTGACTTCCACCTTATGCCACCTGAAAGTTCCATTATAGTTGAAGACAAGACATTCTCAATCCATAGTTCCTAATGAAGTTCATGTGCATACAGAACAAATAACCTTAATAAGGGTGAAAATGTTTCATTAAAGTCTTGGTTTGTCGATGGTAAACATATTAAATATAATGTTGCCCACTTTCATACAAACATTGTAACTTGAGACAATTGAGTTTTCATGACTTGACTCTCAAATAAACAAGTACTGTCCTAGATAATGGTGCAAGATGAGAATAAGTGGGAGCTCCGGTGGCATAGTGCCTGAGACATTTGACTGCTAACCACAAGGCTGGCAGTCCAAACCCACCAGCCACTCCTCAGAAGGAAGATTGGGCAATCTACTTCCATAAAGATACTGCCTCACAAACCTAAGGAGGGGTCGCTATGAGTCAAATTCACTCGACGGCAGTGAGTATGGTTTTGGTCTTTTTTTTTTTTTTTTTTAACCTCAAGAAGGAGCTCTGGCAGCATAGTTGGTAAGGCTGCTAACTTGTAAGTCAGAGGTGCAAACCCACCAGCTGCTCTGCAGGAGGAAGATGAGGCAAACAAACTACTTGCGTAAAGATTTACAGCCTTGGAAACCCAATGGGAGTTGCTATGTGTTGGAATCGACACAATGGCAGTGGGTTTGGTTTTTTTGGTTAACCTCAAAAAGTTTATGGTTTTATGTTGAGATAAACAACATGCAGGGTAACAGTATATCAATTTTAGTAAGAAGGAGGGTCTTGTATTCAGGTAAATCAGAACTAGTTGTGATTTGCCAAAAGCAGTACAACGTTGATATATTGATTGCTGTTTCCATGGGTGTCAGTTGTGGATCCAAGTAAAATGAAATCCATGACAACTTCAGTCTTTTACCACTATCATGATGTTCATTATTGGTCCAGTTTGAGGATTTTGGTTTTCTTTATGTTGAGATGTAATCCTATTGAAAGCTGTAGTCTTTGATCTTCATTAGTAATGCTTCAAGTTCTCTTCACTTTCAGCAAGCAAGATTGTAATGTGCATAATATTGTTTGTTAATGAGTCTTCCTCCAATTCTGATGCATGTACTTCTTCATATTGTTGAACTTCTTGAATCATTTGGTCAGCACAAAGATAGAATAAATATAATGAAAAGATATAAACCTGAAACATCCCTTCCCTGATTTTAAACCATATAGTATCTCCCTGTTCTGGTCAAATGTCTCGGTCTATGTACAGGTACCACATGAGCACAATTATGTGTTCTGGAATTCCCAGTCTTCCATAATTTATCCAAGACATGAATAGCCAATGTTATCCATAACTTGTTATGATCCACATGGTTATACCCCTTTGCACAATCAAAAAAAAAAAAAAAAAAAACAAACACACAGGCAAACACCTTTCTGGGATTCTCTGCTATCACCCAAGATCCATCTGACATTTGTGATGATATTCCTCATTCCACAGCCTCTTCTGAATCCAGTTTGAATTTCTGGCAGTTTCCTCATACTGCTGCAACTATTTTGAATTATCTTCAACAAAATTTTACTTATTTGTCATATTAAATATGTTGTTCAATAATTTTCATTTCTGTAGGATCACCTTTCTTTATAATGGGCACAAATATGGATCTTCCAAATTTCTTGGTATAGATGAGTGAGTGAGCACCTCCAATGTTGCATTGGTTTGTTGAAATATTTAAATTGGTATTCCTTCAGTTCCGGGAGCACTGTTTTTCACTAATGCCTTCAGTGCAGTTTGGACTTCTTCCTTCAATATCATTGGTTCCTGATCACATGCTACCTTCTGAAATAGTTGAACATGGACCAATTCTTTTTGGTACAGTGATTCTATATATTCCTTCTCTCTTCTTTTGATGCTTTCTCTGGTTTTTTTGTTTTGCCAACAGAATCCTTCAGTATTGCAACTTAGTCTCAAATTTGTTAGTTTAGTTCTTTTAGTTTGAGAAATGCCAACTATGTTCTTCCCTTTTGGTTTTCCAACTTCAAGTTTTTGTACATTTCATTATAATACTTTACTCCAACTTGAACTTGCATATGAGCAATTGATAGTCTGTTCCATAATTGGCCTCTGGCCTTGTGACTGATGATATTGAGCTTTTCCATCTTCTCTTTCAAATGATGCAGTCATTTGATTCCTGTGTATTCCATCTGGCAAGGTCCATCTGTATAGTCACCTTTTATCTTGTTATATGTTAAAAAGCCATTTGCAATGAATTAGTCTTGCAAAATTCTATCCTGTGACCTCCAGCTTCATTTTTATCACCAAGGTCATGTGTTTCAGCTATTGATGCTTCTTCTTTGTTTCCAACTTTTGCATTCCAATCACCAGTAATTATTAATGTATCTTTGTGTGTGTGTGTGATTTGGGTGAAAGTTTACAGAGTAAATTCATTTTCCATACAGCAGTTCATACACATTTTGTCTCATGATATTGACTATAATTCCCCACAATTTAACAGCTCTTTTCCTACCTCCTCCCTGTAGTTACCTCTTCACTGTGTCCTTCCTTCCCATGTACTCCCAGTACCCCAAGCTGTCTTCCAGTGCAAACACTACCCTTTTGTTCTCCGATGATTGATAGCTCCAAGGAATGTGTTTACCTGATGTAAATGTTCACCCCAAATGCCTGTCTATTGTTGGGCTGGAAGCCACAGGAGTGAGTTCAGTTCCTGAGCAGAAGGGTAGTTAGTGGCCATAGTCTCAGGGGTCTCACCAGGCTCTTATCAGTATCAATGAATCTTGACTGCATGTTTGATCAATTTCAAACTGCAGAAGTCAGTAAAAATGTTCAATTTCTTCATCTTTGGCATTAGTGGATGATGCATAAATTTGAAAGGAGCTCTGGTGGTGTAATCTCTAAGGCATCTGACTGCTAATGAGAAGGTTGGTGGTTCAAACCCACCAGCCACTCTGCAGAAAGAAGACTAGGCAATCTAGTTCCGTAAAGATTACCACCTCAGAAACCCAAGGAGGGTCACTATGCATCAGAATCAACTCGATGGCAGTGAGTTGGTTTTTTTTTTTTTTTTTTGCCATTAATTTGAATAATACTCATATTAGCTGCTCTTCCTTGTAGGGATATGGATATTATCCCACCACTGACAGTACTGTATTTCAGGATAGAACTTGAAATATTCTTTTTGATGATGAATGTGATGCCATTCCTCTTCAATTTATCATTCCTGACATAGTAGACTGTGTGTTTATATGATTCAAAATGGCCAATATCATTCAGTTCATTAATGCCTAGGATATTGATCTTTATACATTCTATTTCATTTTTGATAACTTTCAATTTTCCTAGATTCATATTTTGCACATTCCATGTTCTGATTATTCATGGATGTTTGCAGCTGTTCCTTCCCATTTTGAATTGTGCCTCATCAGCAAATGAAAGTTTTGAAAGCTTTGCTCCACCCACATCATTAAAATCAACTCTATTTTGAGGAGTCAGCCCTTCCACAGTTGTATTTTGAGTGTCTTCCAACCCGAGGGTCTCGTCTTCTGGCACTAAATCAGACAATGTTCCACTGTTAGTCATAAGGTTTTCACAGGCTAATATTTTCAGACCTACCAGCCACTCCTCAGAAGGAAGATGGGGCAATCTACTTCTTTAGTGATACTGCCTCGGAAACCCAAGGAGTGGTTGCTATGAGTCGGGTCCGACTTGACGGCACATAACAACAACAACAAAAAATATTTTCAGGAGTAAATTGCTAGGTCCTCCTTCCTAGTCTGTCTTAGTCTGGAAGCTCTGCTGAAACCTGTCCACCATGGGTGACCCGGCTGATATCTGAAATACTGGTGACATAGCTTCTAGCCCAACAACTTCTAAGGCAGCACAGTGCAACAAACATATAGACAAGTGGTGGAAAGACTCTGCTAAGGAAATGAACAGACAAGCCACAAACTGAGAAAAAAAATGTAAATTATATATCTGACAAGAGACTTATATCCAGAATATAGGGTCCCTGGGTGGTGCAAATGGTGAACATGATTGCTGTGAACCAAAGAGTTTGTGGTTTGAGTCCACTTAGAGGTATCTTGGAAGAAATGTTTGGCAATCCATTTCAGGAAACAGCAACAACAACAACAAGAAAAAACACCATTGAAAATCCTGTGGAGCATGTCTGTACACTGACACACACAACATCACTATAACTCAAAATCAACTCAATGGCAATTTGTATCCAGAATATATATATATAGAAGTTTTACACTCAATAATAAGAGGAGAAAACATCAAATTAAAAATGGGTAAAAGACTTGAATAGAAAGTCTTCATCAAGGATATACATAGGGCATAAAAACACACAAAAATGTGCTCAACACTAATTACTAGGGAAAAGCAAATCAAAGCCACAATGAAAAACTGCTTCATACCCATGGAAAGGGCTGTAATATAAAATATGGACAATAACAAGTGTTGGTGAAGATGTGGAGAAATTGGAATCTTTATACATTGATAGTACACATGTTCAATGCATTCTTCAAAATGATTCAGCCACTTTGGAAAAGTTTAGCAGTTCCTCAGATTGTTAAACATAGAGTTACTGTGTTGCTGTTGTCCTTGTTAGATGTCATTGAGTCAGTTCTGATTCACAGCAAACAAAACAGTAACCAGTCCTGTGCCATCCTCACCATATCACCCAGAAATTCCACATCTCTCTCTCTATATATATATGAGAAAACTGAAAACACACGTCCATACA